CCGTCTCTTGCAGGCGCCGCGGGAGGCCTGGCAGCCGTGCCGCCGCTTCTCCGACCTGCCGCCCCTGACCTTGGCGGACATCAAGGAGCGCGTCCTCTACGTCCTCAAGCTGTACGACAAGATCGACCCGGAGAAGGTGAGCGGGGCCGGGCCGGGGGGCGGCGGGGGGCCGGGAAGGGCTCCCGCTGCGGGGCCGCTCCCGCTGAAATGGCCGCCGCCAAACCGCCTTCGATTTTGTTTCTTCCCCTAGCTCACAGCTGAGTCCCACTTCATGAAAGACCTGGGTTTGGACAGTTTGGACCAAGTGGAAATCATCATGGCTATGGAAGACGAATTTGGTAACTCGGAGCTGTGCGCGCTCAGATTCATCGCTACCTTTTTTTTTTTTTTTTTTTTGGCTAATCCCTAAGCGCAGCTACAGCAAACGAGCCTCAGTTCTGTGAATAATAACACTGATGTCATTCAAAGAAAATCGTGCGGTGCTCGATCAGTGAGACCTGGCACCGGCGAGGCTCAGGAGAAGGCGTCTGTCCGTCTGTCTGCTCCTGAGCGCCGTCCCTCTGGGAGCACTGGCTGCTTTTCTCCCCGCACCCCCCTTGCGCTGCTGGGGAGGGGGAGAGCAGGGGGCAGCATCGTGGAGGGGAGGGCAGCGGGTCTTACACTTAGCATGAAGGCTGCATCTGGAGCTGATCGTGGCTCCTGCTCGTGAAATCACAGATATTCCCGGTTTTTCCTCGCCAGAACTTTTTTCATCCTTGGTACGTGATGCCACTAGAAAAAAGTGGCTGTTTTTTCCTTATTAGTTTATATTCCAAATTTCTTTTTACATCATTTTGGCTGCCTTCGTGCTTTCATTTAAAGCTCTTAAATTCTGCCATACATGCCTAATTTGTCACATTGGGTCATAACTGTCCCTGGGGTTTGGTCATTCTCTAAAACCTAGGCAGATGTTTCACTTTCAGAGCATTTGCTGATGCTGTGTGTTTAATCCACTTACCTGTACCACGGGTGGTGTGTTAGTGTGTGGCCACGCGGACTAGAAAGAAGACCCTAAATTTTCTGGAATGCCTTTCTGACCAGTTCCACAGCTGAGAGCCCTTGTGCTCCCTGCCCCCGGCTGCTGCTCTGTACGAGCTCTTGGTTTTACGAGTGCTCAACAGCAGACTCTGAACCTGAGGGGCTTTGGGCCCTGGCTTGCGGGGAGTTACCAAGAGCATCCCCCTCCTGTCACACACCGGTGGCTGTGGGAGCTCTGGGAAGGCGTCAGCGGCTTTAACGGGGTGTGAGGGGCACTCGCGGGCTGGCTCGGCAGCCCTGCTCCCTGCTGCGTCTGCTTTGTCCCTTATCCAGAAGCCGTGTCCTGTAAGGCAGAGTGCAGCTTGAAGCTCGGCGTAGGAATGAAGTGCTGGCTCTGATTGTCAGAGCTGAGCAGCAGCCCCTGCCTCTTTGTCCCCTGCCAAGCTGCAGGCATCTGAGCCAGCAGTAATTGCTTCCTTTAGCCTTGCCCCCGTTTCCGTTGTTTTGGGCTAAATATGTGCGCTTTCTTCCAGGATTTGAAATTCCTGATGGAGATGCAGAAAAGTTGATGTGTCCACAAGAGATTGTAGATTACATTGCAGATAAGAAGGATGTTTATGAATAAAAACAGTTCTTCAAAGCCGGGTAAGTGGAAATGTGCTCCTGTGAGCGTCTCGGGTAGCGGTGGTGTGCACAGGGTGCAAGTGTGCCGGCCTGGGGGGGAGTGTCTGGCGTGAGGTGACTGTATGGCAGGCAGGAGTCTGGCACGTCTGGGAGGGAGCTGGCAGCAGCTGCCCGCTCTGAGCAGGGAGGAGAGAGTACACGTGTTTTCTTGAGGCATCTGCTGTTGGAGGGAGGGTGTGGGGCTCGGCGACCTTTCATCTCGCCCTGCCTGGCACCGAGGTTATCCACAGGTCTTTTACTAGGTGGCGAATTGACTTTAGGCGGGCAAGTCCACCTTTTCAGCGCTCCTCGGGGTAGGCATCTCCAGAGGCGTGCGATAGCACAGCTCCCATCTGCCAGTAGCAACCGTTTCCTCCTCACCAGCCACAGCCAGAGACTGGAGCAGGAAAGGAAACGGGCAGGAAAGGGTTGTTGGAGCGACTGGCCCTCGGGGTGCTCTGGGGCTGCAGGGGAAATGAGCTGGTGGCCTCAGGCCAGCGTGCGGCGGCAGATTGGGCCACGTTCCTGTTTGTTCCTGTGTGCGCTTGTGGCCTCCCCCCACGCTCTCCTCCTGGGTCAGCGGGGAGCTGCGCCCCTTTGCTGCCTTTGGAGCCGAGGCCGGAGTCCTGGCGATTGTAACGATCTGTGGACTCGTTACATGCCTGCTTTTGGTATTCAGCTCGTCTTGTCTCTGCCTGACCCACTTCTTTTGTGCCTTAAAATGGTAGTCTCGGTTGATGAAATATTAAATATGTGGATTTTTTTTTTTTTAACAGGAGATGTCTCTACCACCAGGACTGGGCTGGTGTCAGCGGGTATGAATATAAGCGCACATGCTGTACCATTGCTGCTTTCATCGGAAAGTTGTACTTGGACGTTGTATTTAAAGCTGTCTGAATATATTGTCCTTTAAAAACAAGGAAAAAAAAAAGGAATAAATATATAAGGCCATGTTGTGTTGATGGCTTTTCTGTTTCACATTCTGTGTCGGTGGCTCGCTGTGTTAGTGTTCAGGACCCTTCAGGGATGAGTAACTGACTGCACAGAAATGCTCTTGTCTAACCCCAGGCTTTGACTGCCGGCGGCGCGGCCTCTGCTCGGCCGTTACCCCGTGGGATAAAAGCACCGTCTGCCGAGCGCCGGGGGAGGCGTTTGTGGGTCTGTCGGGCTCTGAGCGTGTCCTGCTGAGGGCGTTTTGCCGTTCGTCCTCTCTGTGTGCGTGGAAGCGCCAGCAGTACCTGTACGGCTCGTGCCGCTGTGCACAAAGCTCCGTGCCCTCTGCTGCTGGCGTGATCGCTCTTCCCCTGGTCTCACTGCTTGTGTTGTCTGCCCTTTCTGATAAACTGCCCCTCTGCTGCCTTTGCTGTTTATTTCATCAGTGCTGGTAAAAACAGGCAAGTTCCATCTGAAGGGCTTCTGCTTTCCTGATGGAAAATAAAAGGGGGAATGACTTTCCTGCTGCTGAAAAGCAAAATTGCATCCCGACTAATCTCAGCACGGGAGGCTTGCTTTAAATCTCTCCCGAGACAGAAACAAGTTATTTCTGGGCACTACACAGTTTTTCCTCTGAGCCAAGAAACACTTTCATATGTCAAAGAGGCACTGCTAGGCTGGGAGCCAAGAAAGCGTCACTCGATAACGTATCCTCCTCTGGCAATCAGGGTGGCGGATGATGGAAAATAGACCCGGGTCTGTTGGTGCGGCACTGGAGCGCGGTGTGGGTGTTCTCAGGCTTCCTCTAGAGCCATGTTTCACTTTTAAAATCGCACGGTGCCGAATCCTCGGCCAGCCGGGTGACCCTCTGCCTGCAGGGCCCAAGTTTCGCTTTCATTGTGTGCGAGGCCCTGGCTTTTGGAGGCTCCTTAGTCGCTCCTTCACCCCCAATGTGTTCCGAAACATTTTCCAAACAGGCTGCAGGGTGGAACTGCGGGGAAAAAGTCGTTTTGGCCACTGTGTCTGTGGTGGTTTTGAGGTGCCTGCTCGGAGGCAGGAGTGGCAGCGGCTGCAGAACCAGCCCTTTGCGGCCCAGGCAAAGGCACCCGGTGTGGTCACTGGTTTCATTTGGTGCTGTGGCCCTGAGTGATTTGGTGAAGGAGCCACAGCCAGACGCAGCCAGAGGTGCCCTCAAGGAGCCTTTGCCGTATCCGAGGCAGGGCCGGGCACGGCTGGGGTGGCCCTGGGGACAGCCCGTGTCCCGGCGGTCCCTAACGGTGGCTTTTCAGGCTGCACCTGTTTGTTAGGGGAGGGCGGGTCGAGAGCGGGTGCCCGCAGAGGAGCGGTGCCCGCGCCCTCCCCG